AAATAAAGTCTAATGTTACAACTAATCGGGGATCCCTTTAATAACCTCTGAAATTATTGATATTATCTGATATGTTTTTATTGATATTAAACACGTGTCTATGGTGATATATATTTATATCGTTGAATTATCTCAGCCCTAACTGTGGTGTTTATGATGGAAAATAAGGTTCGATGTTAAATCTGCTGCTTTCACAACATCCGTCCTTCTCGAACGCAGGAACTCGCAGAAACGGAGAAACTTCTTGAAAAGATGAACGGCTACGAGGAGCGGATGTTTCAGTGTCTGGTTTGTTACGCTGCTGGTCGAGTATTTCTCAGACAAAACAGGTAGAGAAGAATCCGCTCACGTCTGCTGTTTGAAGTGATGCAACGTGGGTCACGTTTTTGTTTGTTTTCTAACAGGTTTGTGGTCGCTCTGCAGCAGTTTTCAGATTCTTTACAAATGGTGAAAAATCAAATAATGCCAGGTAAACTCACCTGGCCTTTAACTAAAGAGATCGTCAAAGAAACACAACCTGAATACTTTAAGGTGGGTCCGGTTTTTATAAAGTATTAAACATTTTGTATTCATGAAGCTTTTAATGCATCAGGTTGACTTTTAATTTATTTTAATTTTTAAAGGAAATTTTGGAGCATTCTATAGAGTTGTGTAAATTTCCTCCTCCTCCTGATGCCGTTTGTCGTCTTGAAAAATGTCTTTGCCCTTTGAAACCTGAAATCTACCTAACCGACCCAGATTTTAAGGTAAATTCAGTTGCTTTGAATGTTTTTAAAACATGAGTTCTTCTCAGGCTCGGGGAGTTTTCCAACGTGTGCTCGTGTTTTCCTCAGGGTTACGTTCAGATGTGTTGCTGTCAGAGCTGCAGGGTGGAGTTTCACATCAACTGCTGGAAGAGTCTGAAGACCACACGTTTCTTAGAGAAGAGTGAAAAGGTTTGTTTTAGGTTATTTCTCTTCGTAAATGCCTCTGTATGTTTTCTGTCATCATGTTTTATGTTTCTGTCGCAGGACATCCTTCATGAAAAATGTTTGACTCCCGACTGCATCGGTAAAATCTGTAGTATCAAAATCTTTTGTCCAACGGGTTTGGTGAAATGTAAGGTAGGGAGAAATCTCTAAGAATTAAACTTTAATGATGAAAAATGAGATGTTGGTGTTGACCCGGATGTTTTTGTCTTTTCAGTTTGAAGCTGCCATCAGTAAACCGCAAACAGCAAAAAAACCAAAAGTGACTCAGAAATGTTCAAGGTGAGACAGAAGCTGAGGAGGAAACAAATCTTGATTCAAAAGTCTCAGGACACCCTTTTATTTCAGAAACGAACAGGGAAAATAAAATATTAGAATTCCCCAGCAAGTAGTTGATGAGGGAGCCTGTTTGGCAGTGATTTTGAAAGCTGCCATATTGGATTCAGAGCTAGTTTTTCCAATGTGAGAGTGGTCATGAAGACCAGAAATTGATTGTCACAATCAGATAAACACATCTGGTCAATCCGTTTCTGAGAAATCTTTGGTCTTTTGATACGCTACCACATTCCCAGTAGGAAAAAAGTTGACAATAGCTGCGTTTCCATTGCAAATGTGCACAAAACTTTGTCGATATTCTGTTAATGTCAAAAAACACAGTTTCACAACTGCAGTGTTTCCATTAAGAAATGCTATTAAAGTCACGCGTGAATATGTTTGTTCTCATGATAAGTCATTACAAACATGGCAGCGATGGATGTAAACACATAGCATGTTGCTACCACGACACTAGCGCTCATCATCAGAGGAGACGTCGGCGTCTTTTATCGAGGCTTTCGAGCGACAGGCCCCTTATACATGGGAGCGGCTACGTATGCTGTGTTTTTGGGAAATTGTAGTTGGTGAGTTTACTACTTTCTTTTACTACTTCTGTGATATTACTACTACTTTTACTTCCTGTTATCTTCTTCGTTGTCGTCTTTTTTTGCCAGTAGGGCCCCACAGACCCACAGTTGATCATGTGACTCCTGTGATGCAAAAAAGGTGTTTCCATTGCAGTTTTGCGAAAAACACCAATTTCAATACGGCCGAAAAACCTCCTCATCCTGGTGCAAAAACATTTTGTCGAAAAATGTAATTTTTTTCGAAATTGATGTGTTTCCATTGAGCACATTTACTTTCGAAATTCTAAATTGCGCATTTTCATGGTCAGTGGAAACACAGCTATTGATCCAAAATGGCAGCTTTCAAGATGGTGACCATGTTTTGGACTCAACCTCCATTTATTTCATTTTCCACTTTCTTTCTGAGATAAAAGGATGTCCTGATACTTTTGACTCACTCTATTTTTAAACAACCATATGTAATTGATTTTACTGTTAATGGTAAGGTGTACCATAGAGAACCATCTATAGTAAGGCTGTAATGAAAATGTCTTGTCTTTATGACATAAATGAAAATCTTGGATGGAAATTTAAAAAAAAAATCAATGAGGCTCTGAGCTGCAAATCTGATCCGACACAAGCTGTGTTTCCATTCACCATGAAAATGCACAAATTAGAATTTCAAAAATAAATTTGCTCAATGGAAACACGTCAATTAAAAAAATATATTACGTTTTTCGACAATGTTTTTGCGCTAGGATGAGGTGGTTTTTCAGCCGTATTGAAATTGGTGTTTTTCGTAAAACCGCAATGGAAACACTTTTTTCACATCACAGGAGTCACGTGATCAACAACCGGCTGTTTCTACTGGTGAAAAAGACGATGATGAAGAAGATAATAGGAAGTAGAAGTAGTAGTAATATCACAGAAGTAGTATAAAATAGTAAACTCAGCGACTACAATTTGCCAAAAACACAGCATACGTAGCCGCTCCCAAGTAGGGACTTGTCTCTGGAAAGCCTCGATAAAAGACGCCGACGTCTCCTCTGATGATGAGCGCTAGTGTCGTGGTAGCAACATGCTATGTGTTTACATCCATCGCYGCCATGTTTGTAATGACTTATCATGAGAACAAAYGTATTCACGTGACTTTAATAACATTTATTACTTAATGGAAACACTGCAGTTGTGAAACTGTGTTTTTTCGACATTAACAGAATATCGACAAAGTTTTGCGCACATCTGTAATGGAAACACAGCTACAGATTGATGAGGAGTACAGTTTGTTAAACCTGAGGAGATTCAGTTTTTTTCTTAGGATTCTGTTATTTTTCACTTGATCTAATCCTTTAAGTAATAAGTTGTATTTCTGGTGTTCTTTGTTTTTCTTATTTTAGTCTAAATAAATTAAAATCAAAAGAGGAGCAGAAGTTGAAAAAGAAACAGTATAATAAGCCGTTATTTCAAGATATACAGACCATCGACGTGGAGATTCTGCAGCAGAGCGATGACTCTGGATCACACAGTCAACAAAAAGGTTGTATAAAAAGTATAAAATATTTCTGAAAGTGTCTGAGTGACGATATCTGCTGCAGTTTTTGTTTCCCAGAGTAACTTAACCAAACATATCTCTTTCTGTCGTGTTTCAGCCTGGTTGGTGTACAGAGATCCGGTTCTCCTGCAGATCAACCAGAACATGGACCTCCTGAAGGAGGAGAAGGGTCTCCACATTTCTGTGCTYGTCGGCGGTCTGAAGCCCTGGTTGGAGCTGGACTTGTTGAGGCGGAACCAGATCGCCGAGAGGCTGCTGAACTGGCAGCWGGAGCCACTGGAGGCTTTGGGTCAGGCTGTGGAGCTGCTGCTGGAAAGGAAGAACCGGGTTTGGGCTCGTGTTTTTATCCAACAGCTCAGCAGCTGTGTGGATATTAACCCCAAACTGAGCAGCTGGGCCTCTCAGCTGAACGACACAGGTCAGTTTTTATTCTATGCTAAAGCTTTGAAAATCTGCAGCCAGTTGAAATCTGACCGGCTGCTCTCCGATCAGGTCTGAACGCCGCCCGGACCTTCATCAATCAGCACGCCGAACACCTGGAGCAGCAGGACCTGACTCTTCTGCTCCACTTTGAACCWCTGAAGGAGATGATTTTAGAAAAGCTCAGCGCCATACCAGAATTTTTTTCAAGCACTGGCTTGACTGTGACTGAATACCTAAAGCAGGCTCCGACTCAGGACATGAGGCTGTTTATCTGGACTCTGGAGGAGTATAGGGACAACTATGTGTCTTGTCACGCCATACTGGATGAATATTTTGATATGATGGGTGGGTATTTTGACTTGATCYAGTGTCTGATTCTTAAACTGTTGAGTGGTTGAACTCCTTGCTTTTGTTTCTCAGATGGACATTGCTCGGTCTTAAAAAAGTCTGATGAAAATGAAAATGTGAGTGATTTTTAAAACACTTATTTTCGCTCCTGTTGTGTTGCTAAAGATGATTTGAGTTGTGAAAACTTCTTGGCATGTTTTTTGTTTCAGAATTCTTTGAGGACTAAAAGTAGAGGCCGAAAAAGCAGGAAGCAGAAAGAGCAGAAGGTAAGAATTTCCCAACTGTTTTTTTTTTTAAGTTTTATATGTAATCACTCTGATTTATTTGTTTGTAGGATGTAATTGTTTTGTCTGGGATGAGAGGATTATCGGCGAGAGAGGAGTGGGACCAAGGCATTTTTGAAGATGACTCTTTGTAAGTTGTTTTCACTTTGTTTCAGACATTGATGGAAAGTTTCATGTCAGCCGTCTGAATGAGAAATGCGTTTGAAGCACTGCTACAGTTTATCTCTAAAGTCAGTCAAAACTAACTCGACTCTGAAATTTGCTTTTATTTTTACTCTGATTTAATCAAAAATAATAGTTTTGTTGTGTCCTTGGGCAAGATATTTCCCTGCCTTTCTGTTGTTGGTCAGATGGTCTGGTTGTAAGTCAGTAAGTAAGTGAAGTTTTATTTATAAAGCGCCTTTCACAGAAATATATTCACAAGGTGCTGTACAATCATTAACAGTATAAAAATGGTCAAAAGAATAAAATGAAACAGAAAAACATAATAAAACTTAAGCTATGAAAAACTGAAACATCAAATCAAGAAATTAATTTCTAAAATTGTAAATCAAACACAAGGTCAATGCAGTTCAAAATATACAATAATACAAACATAATGAATTCGGGAGAGAAAAATATGGTGTAAGTCAATAATAAAACACAGATGAGTGAGCATGTACAGTGGAGGTAGGCTGGCAGTAATGGTGAAATGGTTAGCTAAACACGAGAGAAAAAGTGAGTTTTTAGGAGTGACTTGAAAGAGACAAAGTTATCAAGGAAGCGCAGATTAAAAGGGAGTTCATTCCAGAGCCTGGGGGCCACAGAGGAGAAGGACCGGTCACCACGGGTCTTAAAGCGAGTGAGGGGAACCATAAGGAGATGTTGATCCTGTGAGTGGAGGTCTCGTTTGGGGTTTTAAGAGGAAATGAGACTTTTAATGTATTCTGGTGCTTGGCCATGAAGAGCTCTGAAAGATGGTCTGGTTGCACTGGTGCATGGCAGCCCCGCCTCTGAGTGTGCCCCAGGGCAGCTGTGGCTACAGTGTAGCTTACCACCATCAGTGTGTGAAGTAGGGCTGGGTAAAAACATCGATTTAATCCATCTTGGATAAATTTCATTTAAATTTTGGAAAGTCGATCCACAGGGCATGAGATGGATTTTATTTATTTTTCTTCTTCTCCCCCATAGCATGTGTTTGAGGCGCGTTTATGTATTTTGTGTCACTCCTGGCTTGCCGTATGTTTACATTCGATTGACGTTCAGTGCTAACGTTAGCTTCTGACAACAAGTTGTTTAGGGCAAAACAGAGAAACTAAGGAATCATTAACTACCAGCTAACTCTGCAGAAATTAAAGATAACAGATCATGACTACTTTTGTTTGCAAAGATATGCGCTTGTATGTGGTAGCAGAAACAAAGACTTGGAGCGGCTTGTTGAGGTGCTCGAACCAAAATGACCGTATGTAAACATCTGACTGAAGCTGTTCTCCTCAGCATGTACAGTGGTTTGCAAAAGCATTCATACCCCTTGAACTTTTCCATATTTTGTCACATTACAACCACAAACATAAATATATTTCACTGGAATTTAATGTGAAAGACCAACACAAAGT